GTCTCTTCTAGTGTCTAGCTTTCATTATCTCTGCTGTCTCTTCTGGTGTCTAGCTTTCATTATCACTGCTGTCTCTTCTGGTGTCTAGCTTTCATTATCACTGCTGTCTACCTTTCATTATCACTGCTGTCTCTTCTGGTGTCTACCTTTCATTATCACTGCTGTCTACCTTTCATTTTCACTGCTGTCTACCTTTCATTATCACTGCTGTCTACCTTTCATTATCACTGCTGTCTCTTCTGCTGTCTAGCTTTCATTATCACTGCTGTCTACCTTTCATTATCACTGCTGTCTACCTTTCATTATCACTGCTGTCTCTTCTGGTGTCTACCTTTCATTATCACTGCTGTCTCTTCTGCTGTCTAGCTTTCATTATCACTGCTGTCTCTTCTGGTGTCTAGCTTTCATTATCACTGCTGTCTCTTCTGGTGTCTACCTTTCATTATCACTGCTGTCTCTTCTGCTGTCTAGCTTTCATTATCACTGCTGTCTCTTCTGGTGTCTACCTTTCATTATCACTGCTGTCTCTTCTGGTGTCTACATTTCATTATCACTGCTGTCTCTTCTGCTGTCTAGCTTTCATTATCACTGCTGTCTCTTCTGGTGTCTAGCTTTCATTATCACTGCTGTCTCTTCTGGTGTCTACCTTTCATTATCACTGCTGTCTCTTCTGGTGTCTACCTTTCATTATCACTGCTGTCTCTTCTGGTGTCTACCTTTCATTATCACTGCTGTCTACCTTTCATTATTACTGCTGTCTCTTCTGCTGTCTAGCTTTCATTAACACTGCTGTCTCTTCTGCTGTCTAGCTTTCATTATCACTGCTGTCTCTTCTGGTGTCTACCTTTCATTATCACTGCTGTCTCTTCTGGTGTCTACATTTCATTATCACTGCTGTCTCTTCTGCTGTCTAGCTTTCATTATCACTGCTGTCTCTTCTGGTGTCTAGCTTTCATTATCACTGCTGTCTCTTCTGGTGTCTACCTTTCATTATCACTGCTGTCTCTTCTGGTGTCTAGCTTTCATTATCTCTGCTGTCTCTTCTAGTGTCTACCTTTCATTTTCACTGCTGTCTACCTTTCATTATCACTGCTGTCTCTTCTGGTATCTAGCTTTCATTATCACTGCTGTCTCTTCTGGTGTCTAGCTTTCATTAACACTGCTGTCTCTTCTGGTGTCTACCTTTCATTATCTCTGCTGTCTCTTCTGCTGTCTACATTTCATTATCACTGCTGTCTCTTCTGGTGTCTAGCTTTCATTATCACTGCTGTCTACCTTTCATTATCACTGCTGTCTCTTCTGCTGTCTAGCTTTCATTATCACTGCTGTCTACCTTTCATTATCACTGCTGTCTCTTCTGGTGTCTAGCTTTCATTATCTCTGCTGTCTCTTCTGGTGTCTAGCTTTCATTATCACTGCTGTCTCTTCTGGTGTCTAGCTTTCATTATCACTGCTGTCTCTTCTGGTGTCTAGCTTTCATTATCACTGCTGTCTCTTCTGGTGTCTACCTTTCATTATCACTGCTGTCTCTTCTGCTGTCTAGCTTTCATTATCACTGCTGTCTCTTCTGGTGTCTAGCTTTCATGATCACTGCTGTCTACCTTTCATTATCACTGCTGTCTCTTCTGCTGTCTAGCTTTCATTATCACTGCTGTCTACCTTTCATTATCACTGCTGTCTCTTCTGCTGTCTAGCTTTCATTATCACTGCTGTCTCTTCTGGTGTCTACCTTTCATTATCACTGCTGTCTCTTCTGCTGTCTAGCTTTCATTATCACTGCTGTCTCTTCTGGTGTCTAGCTTTCATTATCACTGCTGTCTCTTCTGGTGTCTAGCTTTCATTATCATTGCTGTCTCTTCTGCTGTCTAGCTTTCATTATCACTGCTGTCTACCTTTCATTATCACTGCTGTCTCTTCTGGTGTCTACCTTTCATTATCACTGCTGTCTCTTCTAGTGTCTAGCTTTCATTATCACTGCTGTCTACCTTTCATTATCACTGCTGTCTCTTCTGGTGTCTACCTTTCATTATCACTGCTGTCTCTTCTGCTGTCTAGCTTTCATTCTCACTGCTGTCTCTTCTGGTGTCCACCTTTCATTATCTCTGCTGTCTCTTCTGCTGTCTACCTTTCATTATCACTGCTGTCTCTTCTGGTGTCTAGCTTTCATTATCACTGCTGTCTACCTTTCATTTTCACTGCTGTCTACCTTTCATTATCACTGCTGTCTACCTTTCATTATCACTGCTGTCTACCTTTCATTATCACTGCTGTCTCTTCTGCTGTCTAGCTTTCATTAACACTACTGTCTCTTCTGCTGTCTAGCTTTCATTATCACTGCTGTCTCTTCTGGTGTCTACCTTTCATTATCACTGCTGTCTCTTCTGGTGTCTACCTTTCATTATCACTGCTGTCTCTTCTGGTGTCTAGTTTTCATTATCACTGCTGTCTCTTCTGTTGTCTACCTTTCATTATCACTGCTGTCTCTTCTGGTGTCTAGCTTTCATTATCTCTGCTGTCTCTTCTAGTGTCTACCTTTCATTTTCACTGCTGTCTACCTTTCATTATCACTGCTGTCTCTTCTGGTATCTAGCTTTCATTATCACTGCTGTCTCTTCTGGTGTCTACCTTTCATTATCTCTGCTGTCTCTTCTGCTGTCTACCTTTCATTATCACTGCTGTCTCTTCTGGTGTCTAGCTTTCATTATCTCTGCTGTCTACCTTTCATTATCACTGCTGTCTCTTCTGCTGTCTAGCTTTCATTATCACTGATGTCTAGCTTTCATTATCACTGCTGTCTCTTCTGGTGTCTAGCTTTCATTATCACTGCTGTCTCTTCTGGTGTCTAGCTTTCATTATCATTGCTGTCTCTTCTGGTTTCTACCTTTCATTATCACTGCTGTCTCTTCTGCTGTCTAGCTTTCATTATCACTGCTGTCTACCTTTCATTATCACTGCTGTCTCTTCTAGTGTCTAGCTTTCATTATCACTGCTGTCTACCTTTCATTATCACTGCTGTCTCTTCTGGTGTCTACCTTTCATTATCACTGCTGTCTCTTCTGCTGTCTAGCTTTCATTATCACTGCCGTCTCTTCTGGTGTCTAGCTTTCATTATCACTGCTGTCTCTTCTAGTAAAAGTATCTTTATGTAAAATACTAATGAGTCATTATATGATCTTGATAGACATTGATCCATCTTTGATCTAACTTTACTAAACCCACACCATTGTGAGAAGTGATAATCTTCTATTTGTAATAATAATAATAATAAGTGATTAATATGACTATTATTAGACTATTAGGCAACAGATCTTGATGAGGGTTTAGTAAAGTATTAAACAATTGGACAACCCTCCGTGATTCTAAAAGGACAGTGCTAAATAAACTTTGATTTGATTGGCTTGAACACATGGTTACAATATACCCTATTACAGATGAATAGAAACAGAGAGGTGAACTATCAATTCATAGATTTAATTGCATAGATTAAACATGCTATCAAATCAATTGACCAAGTAGTGAATATAAATCATTACTACGCAGAATTGCAGGAAATTCATTTTGAAACAGTCATAAAATCAAGCTTTTGGTGTGGTGTATCCATGCATCTCAATAAACTATAACCTAAATGCATTTTTTCCTCCACCTTGGCCCAATTCACATTTCCAGTTGCCCACCCTGACATACCAAGCTAGAATGGGCCCTGCGTCTCAACCAATAGCCAATATTGGCTAAATATCCCAAGCTACAGCATCTTCCAGAGAGGGTCAGGCTCCTTGAGCCTTGCGGTGG